ATGGGAGGCCAGATAACAGGACACTACAACATGTACTTTTGTTGGAAGGAGAGGATGATCAATGGACACAGGTAATGAGGATTATATGGCAGTACAGGAAGATAACCAAAGAAGGCTAATAAGGGGATGGGGACCCGTAGCTATCTCATTACATGGTACTCTAAAGCTAGAAGCACGGGTAAACGAGAGTCCTGGGAACTTGGAACTGGGGCAAAGGCTTATCAAAATACTCGTCTGGAGAAATGTATCCCAGAGGTACTCGCCCAAGGGACTGTTACTTAGGCTTCACAGGATAGGAAGTTTGCACAGGAGAGTCCTGGAGGTTTCCACTGAAGTCAATACTATTACCTGCGGGTTACAATCCGGGCAGTACACTTACACAAGTAGGAGACAGACCATGTATTACAAAACTTGTTAGAAATCAATCTGAACTTTTCTTAAGATCCTCCTGATACCCATTATGATATTCAAGTTTTATAGCATACTAAATAGTATGGTTTTATTTTCTATCTTGACCCACTGCTGAATGCTAATTTCATGTACATTACATACAATTACAGTATTTTGTTTAGAATCAAGTAGCTTTTTAATTCTTTGCATAAAAACATGATTGATGTTGTCTGTCCATGGTGCTGAAAGTGAAGTGGTGAACCCGATAAAATGATTCTGTGGATGAAGCCTCAGCCTCAGACTAAAAAAATCTCAAAGCATCGGTCAAAAGTTCTTTTACTACTACTACAGTAACTGTAATTTCCAAAGACAGCCCCAGTACCCCCTATTGATTAAGTGCCAGAGTTACAGTGAGACCTCCTCCATTGGACCTGACCTTGTGTGATGGTGTCTTTGACATACCGCTGACTCAGGGCTTCTAAAAAGGATGCTCTTCTAGTGCCTATCTTTTCTGAAATCGATACTGTGTCTGTAGACTGATAGTTGTATCTGTGCAGTCTTCATTTTACTTTTTTGTTTGTTTGAAGATTCTCATGTTGCAAATACGGCACAAATCCAGACACCAGGTTTCAACTTCATAAAACAGAATGTTCAATACATAGCTAGATTCTCTTCTTCTTTCCTCCAACCATGACAACTAATATAAAGTAATATTGAGCATCAGAGTTTCATTTCACTTGATTATAAGTCCAACCACTACCTGATAGACTTTCAATGCCACCACATGAAAACTGTTGATTGTACAATAAAATGTAAATGTATATCTGATGACCGATGAAAGCTCATTTGTCATATAGGTGTTTTCCATGACCAGTGGCAGATTTACCAGCTACAGTAATTACTTGAGCTGACCATCCTTTCCTCAATCAATCAATCAATCATACAGACCACCATTAATTAAAAGATTGCTGTAAGAACTCTTAACTCCAAATTCCCTAACGGTGATAACTGAAATTAATCATTGAGCTTACAGCATCATTTAGATTTAGTTTTAATTAGATCCAAGCTGAACCTTCGCCCACGTTGAACACCTCCAGTATGACATCTTACCAAAAGGTGAGGAGACTTCAAAAATCACAGCTGAGAGCTGGATCAACCCTAGCTACTCAAAATCCTCTTGGTCACAATGTTAGGTAATCATGTCTGGTGTGTTAAGCTCATTAGATTAGTGAACAAGAATGCACCACACTTTTTAGAAGACACTGTTTTTTTTTTCAAATTTTATCATACATGAAACTTAAGTCATGAGGAAATATCATGAAAAACATACTCAAGTATTTACTATTACACAATACATTTATACGTATTATGGAAAGCTTTTCAACTATTTTGTCCATATTATTTAAATTCTTGACAAAATGTACACTAAGCAAAAACCAAGTAATAAATGTTCTGTTATAGTGAAAATATGTAAAACATTGCAGATGGTTCTTTAAAGTTCCATGTCTTTAGTATCCTTAAATAGTGAACCTGTTTTAAGTCAAATAAGATATATATCTGCATGATCCATCAATAGTTTTTTAATAGAAAACTGACATCAACTAACATCTTTTTGCATAACACTGCAAACAGTTCACTGGTAATATTGGTAACTGTACCTGGTCTGACAAAGATTGTACCATGTTACATCATTTTTACAGCACTTTGTATTTTCCAGGTTACATAGAAGTAGCAGCATAAAGGACGAGTGTATAACACAGTAGCTATGATATATGATTAGTCCCCCAACCTTCCCCCCAAGGAGGTAATTTTGCCCCCACCATATGTCATCCCAGATAAGGTGTGAAGGTATAGTCTTAGGGCAATCCTACCTGCCTTATCCCTGCAGCAAAAGTCCCTGCCAAGCCAGATTAATGAGAAAGTATCACTGACCACTTAATCAGTTATGACTGTATAGAGACAGAAACTTCCCTGATATAGTGTGAGGTCCTGCAGGGGGATGGATGGAGGGATTAGGGGGTAATCCTCCACAGTTTGATCAAGTCCTCCTGGAGACAGCCACTTTCCTCTGGTTGTTATATATCAGTGGAAATTCCCCCTTCAGCTGTCGTTAACAAGGGTTGAATGTCGCCAGAGTGCACTGACATGGATTTCCCCTGTCCCAGTAGACAAAAGTAATGACCATTTGGGGACGGTTTGGTGAAGTTTAATTCCTGGGTGATGCATGGTAGGATGTTCTTCTAGTAATCCCTGACCTGAAGTACATCTAAAATCCAACTATATCCATTAGCAATGGCAGAAGTGTTGTAACACATATCCATAAGTCTGCACTGGAAATGGACAATAGAAACCACAACACCCTACACAAGCATGCACAGGTTTGGTTAAAGAGTAGTTAAAATAAAAGACATTTTATACTTCCCCCAATATCACAGTTTTGATTGTTGGATCAGTTTCTTCTTAATGACCACTAGGAGAAGACAGATTACATCAGAAGCTATCAGTTAATACACCACGGTAACATTAATGCACTGCCAGATTAGAGTAAATCCTGCCTGGCCTTTCAAGACTTCATTAAGGCTGTCACTTAGGGGTCTGTGACTTAAAGCTGTGGGACATCACAGCTGTGTGGGTGACCACTGGAGGAGGAAACACTTCTCACCAGGCAGACTGAGGTCCCACAACATGCAATATAAGAGACTTGGGGTTAATCCTCTTCTGTAGCTGTCAGTCATGAATTATGGTTTTCCCATACGGGAGAGATTGGCCATTAGTTTCTGTGGTTACAATAAAGATGAAAAGTTCAACAATGCACTGTGACAGTATTTTCTGACTGGAGGAAAAGCATGGTTTACCAGATAAAGGAAATGTAACATGTAGCTCCCACAGGAATGTAAGCTACTGTACCATATAAGATTCAAGATTCTTTCCCCATAGAAATTTATGGTATTCACACAGCCCTGTCTTCAGAGATCTGACCACATACATGTGTGCATGTAGTTAGTTCTGTGCTTATCCTGCTGTCCGTACTCCTAGTAAGCCTGTCTATTCCTCTGTACCCTGGTATTAGAATGGGAAGTTGCCCTCCTCATTTAATCAAATCTGACCATTTTAAGACCAAACCAAATCCCTGAGGGAGCTCGTCGGAAACTTAGGAACCCTGGCACAGTGGCCAGCCTGATCCCTCTCCTGTCTTGCATATCTATCACTCCTCTCCCCCATCCCTCTTTACTGTGAACAATATTATATCATAATCGGAGATGACAGGCCCAAACCTTTCAAGACCATCTCTAGGATGCCTTTAAAGCCCATCTGGGTGTCTTGCGGTTGCCCCAAAGCTTTCCTAATCCCCCTCAGGATTTGGGCTCTAAGCCCGCTGCTTTCTTCTAGGCTTAGTCTTGCTACAGGTTAGTGCAGTTGTATCCCATTGGATAAAACTTCTGTCGTAACTCATTTATTACATGCCGGTGTACTGGCTAACCATCCCTCAGCGTCAGAGGTCTTCTTACATTTCTCTCATTAGAAGTACGGATGTGTGAGGAAACCTGATGGCAAACATTTGTACTGTTGTCTCACACACTGGTACACCAATAACAATTCTACAAACCAGCAACTCCAGAATTCAACCATGATATTCATCGTAAGGTACATTTGTAGAACTCTACTTTCAAATAATATTTCACAGATCATCAGTCAACATGATTCACAAGTATGCAAAAATTACCAGTTTATTCACAAAAAATGAAATGAAGGCCCTGGAAAGCATCAAGTGTAATTCTGCACAGTGAGCAGTTTACAATAGACTGTGCTGGAAGCTGCACATCATCCAGTCACCTATCAACCCACCTGGTCGATAGGTACTCTCGGATTTGGAAACTTGCCTTTGCACATAGCAGTCAACAGGTAATAATTAGAAAAATGTCTGACTTTAGAAATCTAATACAAGGAGGCAAGGACGACAGTAATCATATAACCCTGCAAGCTGCAAGGTACAATTAATCACACCACTGGTACAGGTAACTGAAGAACAGAATCTACTTTATACAGCACTCAGTGGGGCATTATTGTTTGTGTCAAAGCAAGTTTCTGGATGAACCTGTATTGATTTTTGGTCCATATCCTGTTGGAGGTGAGAAATTAGACAGGCAGTATCATCTTCATGGGGGCATTAGCACAACACTGGGGCAAAGGTCAAGTGAAACATGATGAGATGGGCCACTGTCCACACAGGCTCCGGCCCATTCTTGCTATTATGGGGTCAAGAGTCAAACTAGCATGTTGTCCATGGGTGATGGGCGCACCTTTATTCTTCCCCACAGCCCAATTATCACTTCTCAGTTTTATTAATTATGGTTTCAGGAACTTTTTATAACCTTTTCAGTCAACTTGACAGTGAATGACTTACGTTGGAACAGTGGAAGAGCGATTGAGATAAAATGAAACAGAATAGCTTAGATATACGCATAGATATTTTTCATGGACCTGTTTCAATTATTCATTGTGTTGTTGAAAGTTTGTCATGTGGTTGAGCACAAAGTTTACAGGTCTGCCATCATGATAGAGTATTTACAGAAGAAATGAAAATGAAGGAAAAAGATTAGTTAGCACACCTGTACAGTTGAATGTCTTCCGGACTGCAGTGGTAGACAGTAATTGTCGCTGGCGCAGGAAGTCAGCAAGCTGGCCACTACCCATCACAACCACAGCCATAACCAAATATGGCAATGCAGAAAGGACACCGTCCTGCAGTAAAACAGTACCAGGAGATGGATGTTTGCAGAACTGTGCAACTTTGCTATGTCAGGCAATATCATCAACAGGATATGTCCATAACCTTCAATGGGTACCCATCTAACTGGACATATAAAGGCCCATCTTCCTCTTGGATAGGACACTTGCACTATCTGCATGTAGCAGTCAGTAAGCAGTTTGTATTCCAAGCATGAAATATTGTCAGTGGAACAAAATGTGTCTACAATGTAAATGATGACAGTGGGATTTCTTTTTTTTTTTGGAAGTTAGGACCTTCAAGTGGGTTTCCTCAAGACAGTAATGCTGATCATGAAGGCTAAAGGAAAACAGTGGTAGGAATGCCCCCTGGCAAGTGTCTTGTGAAGTGTAAATATTCATTACCGGTACTGTACTAACAGTAACACCAAAAGAATGCAGGCAAAATGGATAGTGAGCGAGTGGTATCAACATCAAATTCTGATATATTCTGATGAAATTTTTATCAATCTTTACACCTGACTGACTACTATTTCAAGATACCATTGATACTTATACAATTTGGTCAGTTTATTCTGAAGCCTCACCTCAGCTAGGTCATAGTGGAATATCTGCCGCAGGAAGAGAGGTAGGCTGGTCAGCATGGTGTAGAACCCCCAGTTCTCACAGAAGTGTGCCACCAGGATGGCCCACACTGGGCCTGATGTTAGCACTTTCTTCCAGGGCACTGAGCCTTCCTGTAGGTGTGGCAAAGAAGGGACAAAACTACATGTGAAACATTTTTGCACATTCTCTCAAATTGAAGCAGGATTGTTTAGAAGAAGAAAATCAATAGATGTACTCCGCTGTTAAAGTGAATTCCATACAAATCCATGAAGCTCCATAGTTATTTTCTTATGTGCGAATGAGCATTCCATAGGTTACATGTTGATCAGTCACATGCAACATGAAAACATTTAACCAGTGTAACCTGTTACACTGTAACAATTCACTTGTATTGTGTCTATCTTACCTTGGCCACTCCCCCCTCTATGGTGATAGTCTGTGTGATGTACTCCAGCTCTTGGTATGAGATGGTGGAGTGGGTAGCAGGAGAGTCTGTCACAATGAACCACCATGCAACAAACCAAACCAAGCCCAGAGCACCTAGTCAATAAACAAATTTTTAAAAAAATATTCAAAAACACAAAGGAAGAAATTTATCAAATCATTTATTCTATCTATTTGCCTACGATGAAGAACGTTCACTGAGATTTGATCTGCTTCTGCCACATTTGTTAAAGTTGCTTTTGACCTTACCATCAACTTTTGACATTTTTTTTTATTCAGCATCAGGGTAAAGGTGTACGTAGTACAAAGATACAAAAGACAAGGTACAAAATGGCCTAAACTCTGCAGAAGGCACGGCAGCCATTTATCACACTTATCCAACCTGCAGCTGGAGACAACAGGCAGAGAAACATAAGGCTAGCTTTGAAGATTCAGACTATCTTAAGCCTGTACTGTAGAGGCGATAGCCAAGTTTTCATGTCCGCATACAACTTTTGTTTTATTACTTCAAAGTTTGGC